ACTTGGTGGAAATGGAGCTTCTGATGGTGGGAAGTTGCAGGAGATCTTGATTGGCCAAACTCTCAGACATTGTGGGATGCTTGTAGAAGCTACTGCTTTTGTCTTGAAAAAGAAAAAATACAGGGTCTGGCACAAATAACACTCCCTTTTTATTATAAGATCTTTTATTATAAAATCATAAGCATGTATTGTGTAACATAACAATATCACACTCAAGCACACTCTATGAAATTTTAGGTGAAATATTCAAATTGCTGTCCATCTCATGTGAGATATTCATATACCCTACCAACCACACTCAGGCAAGCCTTACTTCTGCTGGACCCTGTATAAGAGGATGGCTTCATTGCTCTGATAATTGCAAATAGGAGTCAGTTGGTACCAGGTGAGGTGGAGATTCCCATATGCCCAGAGATAGAAGCAGCCTTAGGGTTTCCAGCAGTATTTGCTGCCAGAGAGAGGTGTCCCTGAAGTTTTGGCAGAGAACCTCTTTCACTGCTCCTCTTTGAACTTACCTGGAAGCTAAGTTCATTCCAGAAATAAGCAAACATGATTTTTCTTTTCCCTTCTAAAAAAAGGTTCAAACTCAAAGTGGGCAGTTTATAACAAGAACCTAGTTTCAGTGCACATAAGGCATTTTCCAGGCTAAGCAACCAAGCAAGCAAACAAACAAACAACAAAAACAAAAACCCAGTTATGAAAATCAAGTCAAGACCAAAAGCCAACTCTATCAGGTATATGAATTCTCTCTTCTTTAGAACAAAAGGTACAAACGGCACCAGTTTGCTCTGTACAAAAAGGGAAATAGTATGAGAATGATGAAAATTATTTAAAAATGAGTTTTTAAAAAATTAGGCAGCAAGCCTTTTTCCCAAAAATAAAAGAAGAAGGAAAAAATCCACCAGAATAGGTAAAACCATTATACTCGACTTTCCAATGACCAAGGTGTCAGTTCCTGTATGAGAGGATTTTGATCCAAAACTTCTAAGGCAAATGTAACTTTTCTTATTGAGTGTGGAGGAGTGATAGTTGAGTAACCTAGCTTATTCTGACTTTTATACATTAACTTTTAGAATCTTCTTCCCGGAGTTGTCAGGTTCTCTAATCCAGAAACTGTAGAAGCTTCTGGCATACCCAAGAAGGGTAATGGTGTCAGGCTATGAGCCTGGGACTTGAGCCAACCCAGCTTGTGTCTTAATCCCCGTTCTTCATTCCTTAGCCTGTGGTCTTGACCAAGTCACCTAATTTCTCTGAAGCCTGATTTCTTCATTTGTAAAGTGGGGCTAGTAATAGTGATGTGAGGTGGCATTTGTGAGATTTTTATGAAGTAATACATATAAAACAGTTATACTGTGCCCAACACAAAGCAGGTGATGAATAAATGTTAGCTATTTTTACTTTTACTTTAATGTTACGGTAATTTGATTTCCTAGGAGGTCAGGATATTAGAGAAGGATTTGGACTTTCAAGTTCACATGTTTGCCCACACACATTTGGAATGTGCTCACTGAGTCAATTAAAATCGGAATGATGGTTCTGAGCAATGTGCGAGCACAAATTTCTGAATGCCTGCTTGAAGAAAGGACAATAGAACCTTTAGGAGACAAGTCTATTTACTCACCATCCATTGAATGAGCATTATGTGTTAGATACTGGGCTATGGCTTAGTAAACAAAGATAAATAAAATATTGTTCTTGGCTCAAGATTTAATAGCCTAGTTACTCTATGGACATGTTAACAGAAGATTAAATTCTGTGTGAAAGTGCCACCACAGCATCTATGGGATTCAGATAGCAGCAAGGAGACAGGAAGGGCCTCATTGAATATGCTTTTGAGCTGAAATTCAAAGAATGAGCAGGTGTTTTTCAGGCAGGCAGAAAGTGAAGGGAGGACACGCCAGGCAGAAGGAAGCAGGCAGAAAGTCACAGTAGTAGTTCAACACTGCTGGAGCGTGAAGAACATGTAGGAGATAGCGGTGGGAGATGTGGCTGGGCAGGCTGGCTGAGCCCTAGATGCCCAGCAGAACAAGGTGTTCTGTTTCAATCCTGTAGGCGAGAGGGAGCAGTGGAGAAATTTCGAGTAGATGAGTCACGTGATCTAATATGCTTGTTAGAAATACTTAATGGTTGGTGAAGTGTAGGATTAATGGAAGCATGGAGGTTAGGGAGATAGATATGTTATGAGGGTATTGTAAGTGCCCAGGCAGGAGGTGAAGTTCTGACTCTGGGTGTAGCAGTGAGGAAGGACAAGAGGGAAAGGGATGTGAGTGATACTGAGGAGGCAGGAACTGATACAGATGGACAGGCCTTGATTATTACTTGAGTGAAGTCTGCTTCAGGTGTGCACTATGGACAACATGGACAGAAATTTGATGTTTGTCTCTGAAATCTCCTGTGACCTGTGGTGGGACCTGGTCTACAGTATGGACTTTTATGGGTTCATTTAGGAGGCCAGCGTTGAGCTGTTCATATTAGCTCCTAAAGACTCTAAATAGGACCACAGATTCAGTCCTCCCAGTTTCATTCTGGTGAATTGATATCTGGTTGCATATCTTACAATGGGTCAGCCTCAGTCAAGGGTGAATACCTACAGTCTGTGGACCTTAGTTATCATAAAAAAGAAATAGTGGACAATTCATACTTCTGGCTTCTTGGAAGCTCTAAATGAAAACTTCAATCTGTCAGAGATCATATTTATATATAATATTATCCACAGTCCAACGATTCATCTATCTGTCTAAACATCTGTCCACCCTTCATTATCTTTGACTAGTCACAAAATTTGCCCAAGTTTTAATAGGCAGTATGAATCAATTTACCAACAATTGCCATCATGAAAGAGTCAGGAAAATTCAAGATATAGATTTGGAAACATTTTTTTGTCACATTTAAAATCCACAAAGCCTGCATATTTGCTTACTCTTATAATACAAATCTGTGTTTGTTATATCCAGTATGCAATTTTGTAAACGTGACATAAGCATTTTGCACATAAAAGATTGTGTGTGTGTGGTGGTGTGTGAATAGAATGTTTCTTTTTAAAAGGGTACTTGCTAATGAAGTAATTAGTAGGGATAAATATTTTTGGTGTATATGTGCGTGTAAATATGTGTATATATATGTGTATATACATATTCAATCTGATTCTTAATATATGCTAATCTCCACAGCACATGTAACATTAAAAGAAAATCTGGTAATACTTTAAATGTCCTATCGTGAATTCATTTTGTATTCATTGTAATAGCATTGATCAAAATGAATTCATTTGGTATTCATGTAGATGTCACATGTACTTCCATAGGTGTTTCATTGTAAATTAGCATTTCTCAGAGGACACTTAAAATAAGTGTTACTGAAAGTCCTTATTACACATATTGCTGAGATTAGTACATTAAGGATCATGTACTTACATAGTACTAATGCATTTCTGCCACTTAAAATACTACATTACTTATTTCTGATATCTAGCAAATATCTAAGGCAATTTTGAGAATTACTGACATCCTAAAGGAAGTGGTATTTTATGATTAAGCAGTTGCCTATATTTTGCTCTGTTATTTTTTTAAACTAAAGTTCTGTTAGATACTGAAAAGGGGATTAAAAATAAAATTTATATGATGACGACAATGGTTTTTAAATGACATTCATATAGTCAGGCACCAAAAGAATATAGAACCTTATATAATTTTATTTTTGACCAATCATGTTTTAAAAAAATTAAGTGAAGTGAAGAGTTTGTGGACCAGACTACATAGATTTGCCAAGAAAACATTGAATTCCTGGATACACCATGTTTGAGCTTGACTTATCTCAGAAGCAACAAATAAACACAAGCACACAAAGGATCATCTGTATTTTCTATTTATGCCTTTCTTGTAACTCACTCATTACTATCTGGGGCAAAACTTTTGTTATGATCATAATGGATATTGGGAGGAAATAGTAGTGACAGTTGGCTCTAGGGGCATTCACAAGTCAAGAAACGGTGTTTTTGGCTTTTCTCAACTACCTAGGAATTGTGACAGAGAAAGGGGAAGGTTCTGGTGACTGACGTGGCAGTGGCAATGGGCTTGCCGATCCACCAGGGAAACTTTGGGATTCACCCGGGTATTCTGAGTGCTGGCTGGGATGTCTGAGTCACACTTCAAAAAGATGTGTAATATGCTTTGGAAAATAAGGTTTTCCAGTACGCTGTTGGTGGGAATGGGAAAATGGTACAGTTACTCTAGAAAACAGTATGGAGGTTCCTCAAAAAATTAAAAATAGAACCACCATAGCAGCCACCCCACTTTTGGGTATTAATCCAAAAGACTTGAAATTAGAATCTCAAAGAGGTATTAGCGCACCCATGTTTATTTTTGAAGGACTAATTGCAATGGCCAAGAGGTGGGACAGCCCAAGTGTTCATTGCGGATTGAGTGGGAAAAAAAATGTGGTACATACATACAGTGAAATATTATTCAGCCTCAAAAAAAAAAGAGAGGGAAATCCTGTAATAGGCAACAACATAGATGCATCTTGAGGACATAACACCAAATGAAATAAGCCAGTCACAGAAGGACAAACAAACGCTGCAAGACTGCACTTAAGTGAGATATCTGAAATTGTGAAATTCATAGAATTGAAGAGTAGAATTGTGATTGCAGGGGATGAGGGCCAGGCAGGTCGAGGTAATGGGGAGTCACGAATCTAGGAGCATCAAGTTTTAGTTCAGCTAGGAAAGTTCTAGAGACCTGCTCTACTCTGTTGTGCCTATAGTGAACAATATAGCATGTACCCTTAAGACCTTGTTCAGAAAGCAGATCTCATGTTAAGTGTTCATACCACAATAAAATTTAAAAAAATAGTGTTTTTAAATAGAAAGCTGTGCATTAAAGGGATTTAAGATCACGCAGGGGAAAATGTAGTGCTTCCCAGACCCGCCCAGTCATTCATTGTAGGTCCAAAGTTCTTTTTTCTTTTTAAATTCAGTTGTTTTTATCTTCCTCTCTGCACAGGCCTTCCACTTGCTGTCCACACCTGGTAACACATTGAAGGACCGTCCCCTCAGCCGCACTGTCGGGAGACAGCACCTTATTTGGTGCTGACTCAGTGGGAGCCAAGTTTCCAGCAGGCTACCAACTCACACCTGCAGAATTTGCAGGCACATCCGTTTTGCAAACACTCAAAATGGGTAATTGGGCACACAAATGCCTATTTGCATTGCAATTTGGCATTTGTATACACAGTGATGGATTTTTTTCATGTGCAAATGTAGGGGATGCAAGTGCAAAATAGATGTCCTTAAGAAGGAGGGGTGCCTTTAAAAACATATATATCTTTTCAGAAAACTGCTAGAATTTTGAGGAGTGCCAGGATAATAGGTAGGTAGGTGGATATATTTTACTTTTCTCCCCCCATTCAGGGAATGTCCTGAAAGAAGATGGTTCATGTGTTACTTTTGAAGAAGGGTGCCTTTTTTTTTTTTCAAATTAGGCAGAGAGACATCCAGGTTTTATTCATGCTAATAAAGGACTTACCTAGGTTATGGTGAAGTCAGGTAATACTTCAGCTCTAACAAAATGTGAGTTTTACATTCTTGGAGTGTCTGACATTATATGATGAGTGCCGTACACTGGTTTTGAGGTGCATTGTCCTGTTGAGTGTTAATGTTATACACACAAACACACCCAAATATTTGGAACCACAGATTTTGGTAATTGATCAGAATGATGCAGGAAAGAATGATGATGGCCCTGGACAGGGAACAGATGCAGAATGTTGAGGTACTTCAGGTGTTCCTGCTTATTTTCTGGTTTCTTTGTTCCTTCTACCTGCCCTTGACTTTCACCAGTGTTGCTCACTTATCATGTCCAAAGGGCCTTAAGAAAGAAGCATAAGGAATCCCTTCCACCCACCTAAGGCATCTGAGGCTATGGCCCAGGACCATAGCCTTTGACCTTTGACCTTTGACCTTTTCTGTGCTGGTCACTAACTTGCCCCAGGTCCTGGTTCCATATCAGAGTCCATATCTTCCTCCAATCCCGTCAGCCAATGGCAGCTTGCAGGACCACTTCTTGGCTCTTTGGGATGCTGGCCTTCCTGCTCAGTTGTAGTTCCATTTCCTTCCTTTGTTTTGGCAATTCTTGTGATATTCTGTGGAATCCTCCTCTAGGGGAGCTAGACCTGTGGCCAGAAGATGGTTCAGACGTGAACATCTGTCCAACAACTATGGGTATCAAATGAGGGCTTTGTCCCTGGCTCTCCACTCCTTCCTCTGAACACACATACTTTTTGTGAGTCCAGGCACACTTAGGACTTGTGTTGTTGCCTGTAGTCTGTTCTATACCAGCAGCCCATGTTTGCTCAGTTTCGTTGTGCTGTTGCTATCACTAAATTAACGTGTCCCATATCAAATTTGGTCTCTCCATAGCTTCATCCCCTTCGTATTTGACTTCCTGTCATATCTTCTCCCCTCTCCTGTATTTTTCATCCTCACGGTGATCTTTAATTTTTCTCTCCCACACTCATCCCAAGGCCATCAAGTCTTGTTGAGACTTCATTCAAGATGTCTCCCGGGTTCTAAGCCTTTCTCTTTACTACAACCGCCACCATCTGGTCCCCTTATAACTGGATGGTGGTATTTACTGTCTGAGATGTCTCTCTGCTACTGTTCCATTAAACACCCTGCTTACTATGGCTTTCATCTAATTGTGAGCTAAAGAAATTTCATGTTATCAGATCAAGTTCCAACTCCCCATTTTGGGCTTCGAGGCACACAGCATTATTTCCCACAGTATTAGTGGGAAATTCTTTGACAGATTCTGTACTCCAGACTTTTTTCTTCCTTTGCCCCCATATGTCTCTCTCTTATCTGCCTCTGACATTTTCATGTGGATTCCCCAACCTGGATTGTTTTCCCCCTGCTCATATTTATCTAACTCCCAAGACATAGGAAGAAAATGAATTGTCCTAACTCAACACAAGTTTTGCCAGTTCTGACTCCTGCCACACAGAGAACCTTATACCAGTGAGTGGATCTACATGGATCAAGCATTTCCTTGAATTATTTTTGCAGGCCTTGCACTACACTAGAATTTCTTTAAGGATGGTCACTGTACTTTATACTTTTATGTCTTTTCCAATAGTTAGCACAGTGCCAGTTATATGGAAAATGTCTCTCTTGAGTTAATTTGTCTTCACATCTTGGAGGGCTGGAGCTTAGAAGAAAAGGCTAAAGAGTTAGTAGTGTGGAAAGTCATGAAACTCCCTTAAACATTCTCTATTTACAATGCTGCCTGCACACTAGGTTATTATTGCTTTCTTTAAACTCCAGTTCCTCCCCTTTTCTCCTCCTCCTGAGTAACAAGGGCCTAATAGGCTTCATGTATAAGTGCCTATTTTTATTAAAGACAAGTGTAATCTTTTGTAGCCCAAATGTCCCTATCATAAATGCTAGCGGAGAAAAATATTAGGACTCATTTATTTATGAACCTGTTAATAATGAGGTGCAGTTATGAAAAAAAAAGCTTCCTCAGCAAGAGCTCCTGAACAAACAATGCACACTGGGGAAAAAGAAGCTAGTTAGCCTTCTTGACTTAGATAAAGCTATGGAGAAATGACAAGTGCCAGTAATTAGCACAGCCTCTTCAACGAGATAACCCTATACATCTTTGTCTATTTCAATCACCAAAGACTCCGATTCAGTGTAAAATTAAACCTCGGATGCCATCAATTTCTGTTAACCTCTTTATATTGTTCTGTGTTCATGCCTATGTGATAGATAGATTTTGTCACTTTATTAAGTGGTGACATCTCCACAGACACGTGACCTAAAAATCTGTTTGCTCCCTAGCAAAGTATTCTTAATCATCCCCTGGATGTTTTCCAACCAGGGAACAAGATGCATTTTTACATCCCGCTGGTGAACTCCTAGTCCTAAGAACTTGACACTGTTTGTTTGGGTTATCCTATGATTGGCGACTCACCTCAAACTTTCCTGTTCCCAAATAATCTAGTTAGAATATGAGTCAAGGTCTAGGTTCTGGATCAGGCTGTTTATTATATTCACATATCTATTAATAAAACTGATTTGAGGCATCTTCTCCTTCCATATTTGTTTTTTCTTCTTTCTACTCTATACCAGCTTCTAGACTATTTTAAAGTCTCCTGATTCCTGGCAACTTCAATGGTTTTAATCTGAGATATTTTGAAATTGTACTGCTTAATATCCTTTGCTGCCAATAGGCTTTCGTTAATTTATTCATTACTGCAAGAAATATTATTGTAGGTTATATATTTATTGTAGATTATTATTCAAATTTGGAAATTATAAGAATTTACAATTTAACTTTGGTCCAGATTTATCTCTAATAGGTCATGTGTAGACTTGAGACGAAACTTGTAGAAGCAACCAACACGGCGTGTTCTAAGCTGTCCTACCAGGCACCGGCTCAGGTTGGCATGTTGTTCATGTATGAGGTGACCCTGTGACTAGGGCACAGGAGCATATGACTTAGAAAAAAAGTGTGCAGAGCTGTTTCCATCCCAGCGAGCTCTCAATCCCTATTCCCCTTCCCTAAATTCCTTCCCAGCTTTATGTCATTAAAATGTTTCCTACCATTTAATTTTGCCCAGGTTTATATTCCCTCGGTTTTCTTCTTAGGCATCTCATGTCTCTCTGGATGGATAATAGTTTTGTTTTAATGTGCTTCTCCCACCTTTTCTTAACTATGTTGTGCTCTTTCCCCCCCAATTCAGGAGATGTTATCACATGCTTAGTCCTGCATGGTGAGAAGGGCACCAAAATTTGGCATCTGTAAACCTCTTACACTGAGCCCTGATTGCAGTGGCTCCCTGGGAAATATTACAAGGTATCATTTATAGGTATTTACACAATATTTTAAGACACACATTATCTAGGCAATAGAGCAAAACAGCTCACACAACAAGTAAATGGAATAAAGCTCATTTAGATGGTGTTTGAAAGCACAGGCTGCTTTGTGGTGAACGGTGAGGGAGCCTTTCTGACAGATGCTGTTTGTCAAGGGGACTCTATTCAGAGTCTTTACCTTGTTTCTGTGATTGTTTCCCATGACCTGGGTTAGATAGGAAGGACCGTTGAGTAAAAGTCACTATGATATTTAAATTCGCGAAGTTTTCAGTAGTTAAAGAAAGAGGTAGTGAAGGAGGGGAAAGAATGGCATAAAGAAAATTAGAAAATAGGCAAGAAGATTAGAGGAACAGAACATTGATACTTTGGAAACAAAGAAAATTGACCTGTGCATTTATTATGGGCTAAAAAATGTTACATATCTCCTTGGGAAAGATATAAAAAATACGTTCTTTGCTTGTAAGTGGCTATAACTGGGGTTATTTGGATCACTAGCCAGGCCTATGAACACTGTTTCAATCAAATTATTGGAACAAATTCCAAATCAGTGCATATATGAATTTTATTTGAGAGCTTCATCAGAAAAAAAAACAAAGATAATTTTTAGAGGGACCTGCTATGCGACTTGCATTCTTAAATGTTGAAAAGTCTCCAGAATAGAATGCTCCAGCTCATATTCAAGTTTTCTATTGCCCAGTTCCAGCTCTCCCCACTTCCTATTGTTCTCGGTGATCCCCATCCACAACCTCCAGGGCTGGACAAGACCTCTGGCTGGAGGGTGTTTTCCTTTCCTTCCCTCTTTTTCTCCTCAATGGCTTGAGCTTTAACTTTCTTCTCCAGACACTACCCAACTTTTCAGATGTGTTCTGAGTGTCCCTTCCCTATTAAAAAAGGAAAATGAAAGAGAGGAAGAGAGGAAGAAAGGAAGAAAAGAAGAAAGAAAGAAAGAAAGAAAGAAAGAAAGAAAGAAAGAAAGAAAGAAAGAAAGAAAGAAAGAAAGTTCATGTGAAAGAAGCTCACGCGGTTTGATTTTCATTATTTTTAGGTGTTAAGTTTTAGATTAGCACACTATGTCTTAAACCACTGTATTAGAATGCTGCTTGACTCACTTCCAAATTGAAGACCTTTTAAAAAAATTGAAGCAGTCCAATAATTTTAAATCACTCTACACTGTGCATTGCAATTTAAAATTATTGGAGTGCTTCAAATTTTTATAAGCCCTTGAATTTGGAAGTGATCAAGGTTCTAGGCATACTCAGTGTAGAGCAATTTAAAATTATAAGAGCTGTCAAATTTTTATATAAGCACTTCAGTTAGAAAAGGGATTTGGGTTCTGGGCATGT